AGTGGTAAGCACTACATATAATTGTATGTGTTATACTTTATGTGACTGGCAGCACACAGGTCTGTTTACACAGCATCATCGCAAACCTCTGAGTTGTGTGGTGATGTTATCACAGCCACAACATCGCTAGGTAACAGGAATTTTCAGTTCCATTATAGCCTATGGAACCACCATCCCCACAAGCCTCTGTCCTTATGGAAATGTCACTATGCGGCAGGACCGTACACACTTCAGTTTCATTCATGGTTCCTGGCTTGCAGCCCCAAGCCATTATAATTTCCTAAAAGACTTGACTTAGAACGATAAGGGTATTTTGTTGCTGTTAAAACATTTGGCCTTTTGTCCTTGATTCCTGAAGTAGCTCCAGAAGAGCTTCAGAGTGATAAAGGTGACAGACAGTCTGGTTTGGCACAGCCTTTTCAAACACCTTGTGTTAATGAGATGATTTTGGGAAAAGATGCTAGATAAACTCAGTATGGGGTCTGGTCACCAGAGGAACCAGCTATGAGCTCAGAGGGCTGCAACTGACAGCTCCACTCCTCCACTTCCTAAAAGGGGAGAGGGGCTGAAGTTTAAGATGACCACCAATGGCCAATGGCTTCATCAATCCTGCCTGTGTCAGGAAGCTTCTAAAAAGTCCCCACAAGGACTGATCTTGGAGAGCTCTGGATAGCTAACACATCGGGGTTCCTGGAGGGTGGTACTCCCAGAAATAATGGAGCCTCTGCATCCCTTCCTCATATCTTGTCTATTAGTCTCTTTACCTGATATTCATTGGTAGTCTTTGCAATATCCTCTATAATGAATCAGTAAAAGTAAGTGAGTGTTCTCTTGAGGTTTGTGGTCCATTTTAGAAGGTTAATCATACCTGATGAGGGGTTGTGGAAACTCTGGTTGCTTGCTAGCCAGGCAGAAGCACAGGTAAAGCTGGGGCTTGTGACTGGCACTGAAGTGGGGTAGGGGTGGGGCAGTCTTGGGGACCAGCCCTCAGCCTGATGCTGGCTCCAGGTAGATAAACAGCAGAATTAAATTGAATTGGAAGATGCTCAGCTGGTGTCTGCTTCAGAATTGCTTCCTTGCTTGGAGGTGGGGAACCTACCCGTCTCCCGACATGGCTTGTATTGAGTGTGGAGTGAGGGACAGGAGAAACTGAGTTTGGTTTTTTTTCCTATATCCTCAAGCTAGTATTCAATTGTAGATGGGGTAACCTCCAGAACCTGCCCTCTGGAACACTGGCTCACGAACATGCACATATTCACATATTCATCTTAACTTTTTTTTTTTAAAGAGGAAGGATCTCGCCATGTTATCCAGCCTTGTCTAGAATCTGTGATCCTTCTGCCTCAGCCTCCCAAGTAGCTGGGATTACAGGTGTGTGCCACCATGCTCAGCCTCTCACCTTAACATTTCAGTTACATAATTTCCTCCACCAAGGATGTCCTCAACCATCCTCTCCATTTACTAAAGCTCCACTTTCTTCAACCTTCCCACAGTCAGTTTCATATAGATCACTTCTACAGCAGGGATTCCACATATCTGTTTGTCTCTTGAAAGATGCTGCATCTTAATTATGTATCTTAGGGGCCCCTAGAACACAGAAGATCAAGAGCCTACCAAATGTGGGGCAGTACTAGCAGTGAGGACTAACATACAGGGAAGACAGTGAGTCCTTTCTCTTCAAAAGCTCTTAGTTTTTTGGGCTAAACAGACATTTTCAAAAAGCATCACAACATATGAAACCTCTGCATTAATGGAGGCAGAAGAGCAGGGAACCAGTTCTTCTGGGTGGGGGAAGGAAAGGACTTCCAGAGTGGGTGACCATTGGGCTGAGCTTTTGCTGGTCAGGGAGGAGTTCTGTAATTGTTTAAGAGGGACCCAGGTTGGCAGGAAAGGCACAAAAGTGTAGATGGATCAAGAAGTAGGAACTGGGTCCAGACTAATGAGGTTTTGACTTTCTAGAATGTAGGATGCATTCGTGGATCCATTTGATTATTCAACAGATACTGAGTAAACCTAGAATATTGCCAGTTTTGTGCTAAATGCAGAAGATCCAAAAGTGAGCAAGACAGATATGATTTCTAGTCTTTAGCTGCTTAAAACCCAGTGGGGACAGCCGCTGTTCACAAAGCTCTACAAGCATGTGTGATAGGGAAAAGAGGAAGGGACGACCCAGCAAGCTGGGGGGAGTGGCCGGGCCAGGTTGTCAGAAATCCATGACATCATGCCAGGGAGAAGGAAAGCCCTTCAGTCTGTCACCAAGTCCTGCCTCTCCCACCTCCTTGAGAGCTCTCACTTCTTTCTAGTCCTCTTCCCACTGCTAATCTCAGCACAAGTCACCATCCCTTCCTTGCATGACCAGGACAGTCTTCTAAAGGTCTCCTTGTCTCTCACTCCTACTCTTTCCCTACCATGGTCTCCAATGCCAACAGCATGATGGTTCAAAGTGAAAATCTGATCATGTCACCCTCCACGGGAGGCAGTATTCTAACCTTGCCCCATGATCTCCACCCCTTGGCATTACTCTGGTGACTATGTTACATTACACAGCAAAAGGCGTTGTGCAGATCTAGTTAAGGTGACTAATCAGTTGATTTCAAGGTAGAGAAGTTATCCAGGTGGGTCTGCTTGTCTGCTTTTGTAAGCAGAGTCATCTCCCACTGGTAGAAGGGGACTTCAGAGAGACTGGAAGGAAAGGAGGACTTTGGACTGGCTTTATTTATTTATTTATATTATTATTATGTTGTAATACTGATGGTTGAACTCAGGGCCTCGCACCTGATAGGTAGGTACTCTACCTCTTGAGTCACTTTGCTGGCTTTAAAATGGAGGCAGAGGACTTTTCATGAGAAGTACCTGAGAAAGAAATCTAGAAAGTGAGAGAAACTCATGCTGACAGCCACCAAGAAAATGAGACTTCAGTCCTACAACTGAAAGGAACTGGATTTTGGAAGTGGATTTTTCCCCACAGCTAACACCTTGCCTTTGGCCTACAGAACCCTGAGCAGTAGCTAGCAGCTATGCCATGCAAAACTTGTGACAGATAGAACGGTGAAATAATGTGTGGATGAACTTTAAGCCACCCAGTTTGTGGTAATTCAATACATAGCAATAGAAAACTAATCTACTGCCTGGGCTTCCAACCCTCCACTAAAACTGTTGTGGACTTCCTAGGTCCAGGCATTTAATCCTTACAACAGTTCTATTAGGGAGGTATTTTTAATTTTACCATTTCACAGATGAGAAAACTGAGGCTCAGAAAGATTAAATACTTTTCCTAAGGTCACAAACTAGTAAGTGAGCAACCATTCTGACTCCGGCATCTGCACTGTGGCTCTCATTGACCTTAGAATAAATTCAAATGCATAGAGATGGAATTAAAGGCTCTCTGGATCTGCTTCCTGTTCATCCATCCACCTTTGTTAGACACTGTGTCACTCAAACTCCTACAGTCCTAGTAACTGCCATGATCTCTTGATTCCTTGGCTGTGCATGTTGGTTCCCTTCTGCCTGGAATATGAACTTTCCCTTGCTCCATCTCTTTTCCCGTTGGCAGGCTCAAATGTCCTTTGGGTCTTGTCCAAGATGGTACCTCCAGTGGAAGCCTTCCTTGATTCTCCCTGATTGGACCTGGATGCCACTGCAGGATCCGGGTAGGTTCCCCAAACACCTGGTGCATTCCCTTATCAGGATACAGAAGACACTGTGATGGAAATGTTTACTCGGCTGTGCACTCCCCTAGATGGTGAGCTCCTTGCAGGCCAGGACTGGTGATTTGATAAGTAAGTCCTGAGCACAGTGGGACTCAGTAAATATTAAATAATACATCGGTGAAATCAACAAACGCACTTCATCCAAGAAGCATTGAGGAGGCATCCAAGGTCTTGAAGCAACAGAGTGAACTTGTCAGATCTGTGCTCACAGGACCAGCTCAGAGCAAGCCTTGCACATGAGGGACGGTCCTTATCAATAGCTGATGAAACACGCTCATTTGCATTGTGACCTTGGATTTCTTGTGTTGTGAAACTTGGTTCTTACCTCTTCTGAACCACATCTGAATACCAGGAAATAAATGCCAGAAAAGGCCATGGTTTCTCTTTTCAGAAGTGGGGCACATAAAAGCATGTAACTTTTACACTATGAAAATCAGGAGTTTCTCTGCCAAGAAGGCTGTGGGGAGTGGAGGCCCCTGTAGTGATCCGCAGACATGACCCGCGAAGTGCCATCCGTGACCATTCCACACTACACTTGGTCATGGAACTCACTGCGGCTTCCTGTGCAGGAAGAATGGAAGGCAGAGCCGCTTAGACAAGGCGATTACATTTTCTAGGAGATGGCTGATGCCTCAGTCTCCCTGCTTGTGCAAAGTCCACTCCCCAGACAGCGCTGTCCTGATGGTCCAGGGCCACATCTGAGGGCGCCAGGTAAAGTAAGTACGGCAGGTCAAGATGCGCCCAGCCAACACTAGATGCAAGACGGGAGTCAGGGGGCCGAGGGAGACGCGGAGCTGGTACCCGGTGAGGTGCGGACTCCGGGCCACGCGGGAGAGAGGTCCGGGAGACCTTCCTTGCACCGACTCACTGAAAAGCCGCGAGTACTCAGAATGCCATCAAGCCCAGCGAGGGGCAGACGGGGCGCGGCGAGACTGGGAGGGGCGAGTCCGGGCGCGGCGCCAGCAGTGCTCTGGGCTTCAGGTCTGGGCGCTGGGGGCGGGAAGGGGTGGAGCCACGTGGGGAGGAGCAAAACCCGAGGGCCTCGGGCACGGCGGGCAGAGCCAGAGCGGCAGGAGCCCCAGCCCGGGCGCGCTGCGTCGGGAGCGCCAGTCAGACGTCCGGGGCGAGCGCAGCGGCTCCAGCCATCGCCGGCGCCTGTCTTCGGTGCGCAACGGGGGAGAAAGGCCAGCGCCGCGGGAGACACGGATTCTGCCATCCCCGGGCTGCCCGCACTGCCCCTAGCGCCGCGGGAGGGCCCGCCAGACCTGCCACTTGTGCCCGTGTTGCGCCATGGATCCTTCGGAGAAGAAGATATCGGTATGGATCTGCCAGGAGGAGAAGCTGGTATCCGGCCTTTCCCGCCGTACCACTTGCTCGGACGTGGTGCGGGTGCTTTTGGAGGACGGTTGCCGGCGGAGACGGAGGCAACGGAGGGGCCAGCGACGGGGCATGGCCGGCGACCCGCCAGGCCCGGGAGAACTGCCTGAACCCCCGGACGAAAACGACGAGGACGACGACGAGGGGCTACCCCAGGGCATGCTGTGTGGGCCTCCACAGTGCTATTGCATCGTGGAGAAGTGGCGCGGCTTTGAGCGCATCTTGCCCAACAAGACGCGCATCTTGCGCCTCTGGGCTGCCTGGGGCGATGAGCAAGAGAATGTGCGCTTCGTGCTAGTGCGCAGCGAGGCGTCGCTGCCCAACTCGGGGCCGCGCAGCGCTGAGGCACGAGTGGTGCTCAGCCGCGAGCGCCCCTGCCAGGCCCGGGGAGCCCCGGCGCGGCCCAGCGTGGCCATGACACAGGAAAAGCAGCGGCGGGTGGTGCGCAAGGCCTTCCGCAAGCTGGCCAAACTCAACCGGCGGCGCCAGCAGCAGCCACCGTCTCCCTGTTCGTCCACTTCATCGTCCACTGCCTCGTCCTGCTCGTCGCCGCCTCGGCCACACGAGAATGCCTCGGTCGAGCGGATGGAGACGCTGGTGCATCTGGTGCTGTCCCAGGACCACACCATCCGCCAGCAGGTGCAGAGGCTTCGAGAGCTGGACCGAGAGATCGACCGCTATGAAGCCAAGGTACACCTGGATCGCATGCGACGACACGGGGTCAACTACGTGCAGGACACTTACTTGGTGGGGGCAGGCATCGAGCTCGACGGGACTACCCCAGAAGAGGAGACTGAGGAGAAGGCGATGGCGGAGAAGGAGGTGGCGACGGCGCCGGTGGACGGCGAGGCGCAGGCGGCAGCGTTGGAGGAGCTGGCCAGGCGCTGCGACGACCTGCTGCAGCTGCAGGAGCAGCGGGCGCGGCAGGAGGAGTTGCTGGAGCGCCTGTCCACCGAGATTCAGGAGGAGCTGAACCAGAGGTGGATGCGGCGGCGCAACGAGGAGCTGGCGGCGCGGGAGGAGCCCCCGGAGCCCGATGGCAGTCCCGACGGCGAGCTGCTGCTGGAGCAGGAGCGGGTCAGGACGCAGCTCAGCACCAGCCTTTACATCGGGCTCCGGCTCAACACGGACTTGGAGGCCGTCAAGGCGGACTTGGATTACAGCCAGCAACAGTGGGACAGCAAGGATCGTGAGTTGCAGGGCCTTCTCCAGACTTTGCACACTTTGGAGCAGACGTTGGTGCAGGATGGGGCTCCCGACTCCGCCGGAGCCTCGCGGGAACCCGGGCCTCAAGCCTGCGCTGAATGTGGGTGGACCAGGCCCGCGGACTGGCTAAAAACTGTCCGGGCAATGACGAGGACTCAGACACTGGGTTGAGCTCTATGCACAGCCAGGACTCGGATTCAGTGCCTGTGTGTGAATCCCTTGTGTAGGAGTAGCACGGAGGGAGAGGAGAGGGACCCATTTCCCTTTCTTACAGTATGCACTGGCCCGGCCGGCTCAGGGATTTGAAATCAGGCTGGGGTGAGCCTGGAGCTCCAGCCCGGTAGCAGAGCTCCTACCCATGCGGCCTGGGGGACTGTAGGGGACGCCTGTCTGGCTGTGCGAAGCTCTGGCTCCATGGTGAATATGGAGGAGGGTGCGCAGTCCGCCCACTTTTGAGGGTGTGTGGGGGGGTAGTGAGAAGGTGAGAGCCCCTCTATATTGGAAAACTAACACCCCAGGGAAATCGACGTGGTCCAAGCCCATTTTCAAAACAAGAAAGTATTAAGGACATTTTGCCATTCTTCTGTAAGGCTGTATGGGAAGGACTGATGGCAGCTAGAAGTTTAGTTTGTGGCACAAAGTGCTCTTACACATTTGGATGAAAAGGAAATTCCTTGAATGTTAATTGTGACTGTAAACGTGTTAAAACTAGCCAAAGAGAATGCACTGGTGTTGGTCTCAACTTGGCATCTTTGATAGAACCCATAGGCACCAAAATTCTGGCTGTTTACATTTCTGCAGGTTTGGGAATTACCCATCTGCTAAATCATTTGCCTTTCATTTTCTTTCAAAGGCTAAACTGTATTGAAGTCTAACTCTGTATTTCCTCCTACTAAATATAGTATGTGTTAAAACGAGATCCTTTTTCCAAAATAACCTTTTATTATTACAAAGCCAAATATAACCCTTTTTATAAAGCCCTGGCAAACATAGTCCCTGGTTAAAATTTAATCTGGGCCCTTTGGGACCTGTTCCTGCAAAGGCAGGTGTGTTGTCCTTTAGTTTAGACTGCCACTTCATTGCCTCACTCGCTGTTATTTCAGAAAAAATAAAAGAGAAGTCACAGAACTCCCCACGCACAACTGAATTTGCTGCTTTGACAAGCACTGTGGTTTAAATAGACTTGAAAGCAAAGCCCTTTGCACAGTATTTAGCTTTTCAATTGAGCTATATGATTAAAACCAACCATGACCTTCATGGAGTTTTACTCAGACTGCAGTCTGACTTCAGTTTCTTTGGTCAGCGATTAGTTACTGTTCAAACTTAAATTGAGACATTGTAAATATCAGGGTTTATTAGATAAGGTCTCAAAAGAAAAGCAATCTATAGTACACCTTGGCTGAAGAAGTTGATTAAGGATAGTACTTACCAAGGGTAAAAGTATATTAAAGTGAACTAAAGATTTGAATTACTCCTGCCTAGTGCACATCTATGCCCAAGTCACCGAATGCAAGGTGACACAGTCTCATAGCTGGCGATAGAGCTGGTGTTCCCTCAATGTAATTGTTCCGGTTATTTCAATGAAAACTTATCAGTTGTAGCGACTTCCTGGCTGGTTTGAAGGAGCCTGCTGGCTGGCTTCCCCGTGGAGGGCAGTACTTCCGAGGAATGTGGATGTAATCTGTCCTGAGGAGGTATTAACAATGGGGTGTGTGTGTGTGTGTGGAGCCTGTGAGGTGCTGGGGCCTGGTACCATCCTAAATGTCTGAGGGCCGGCTCCAGTATCAACACAAGTGAAGATACCTTAAGAAGCCTTGCTTTCTGGACAAGTTTCTTCCCTTGCAAGATTCTCTGTTGTCAACAGGAGCCTGTCCTCCTGACCTTCTCAAATCACTATTTGTATTGTCTCTGTTTCGAGACAGCCCTGCTACCAACACTGCCACTGCCACTCCGTGACGTGTGTGTGTGTGTGTGTGTGTGTGTGTTTCAGATTTCAAGTAAAATTGGAATTAAAAGGCTGTTTTCTTAATTGATATTTTCAGAAGATCTTGCTTAGCATGATTATGGTTTTAGAGTGTTGTCTGATGCAGAAGACATGTATGTATTTGGTCTTTGGCATAATTCAAATGAGAAAGGGACCAAAAGAACCCCACTGTCTTCAGACAATCATTTGATTCCGTAAACACAAAGCTTAATGATAGCTTTCATTTTGAGGCAGAGGTAAAATCCTCATTAGAGTGTGACAAATGCCACTTGTCTGAATGGTTTATGCTGGCAATGGGCTGACCTGGTGGTTTTTAAATTATTGTGCTTTTTTTTCCCCCTAGGGTGGTAGGGGAGCTGGTTCTTGGACGTTTATTAACTCAGAAAGAACACAGAAGTTGGCAGAACAGGACTGCCTGACTGAAGGGCGCTGTTTTCCTTTTCACTATTATTATTTTAAACTTTGATGAGCTGCTGACGTCAGCAAATGCGCTTGAAGCCCGTAGAGCAAACAAGCCACATCACAGGGAGAAGGACTGTGGAAGTTTCTGGTGCTTTGTTTCTAGAACCTTCCCTGTTCTGGCCACCTGAAGATGTTTCCCTGGTCAACTTTTCAGGCAGCTGGGGAGGCTTTATTTATCACATTTGCTTTCGTCCAAATCAACTATGCTCCGCCAAGGCCCATGTGTGGCTAGGAGACAGGAGAGGTGTTGGGAGGGGGGAGACAATAGTTCCTTTATGCAAGTTTGAGAAGCCTGTAGACATAAAATGCACCAAGACAGTCCCTGTGCATGGAAGTGCATAATAACTGCTAAGCGTGTTTGATTTCCTCTCACTTCTGTGGTCTTCATGGCACTAGGAATGAATGGACGCAGGGTAGGGAATGTACCAGGATGTCAGTACCCCAGGGAAAGTGACTCTGGGTCTTCAGTGTTTCCGGAACTTCACTAAAATCCAGGGAGGAACCTGCGAGCTCAAAAGAGAAAGACTGACAATGTAGGCTGCTCACCAGTCAGCCCCATCCTTTTTGTGGAACTGAGATCTGAGTTCTCCTGTTCTCAGCCATGTCCTGACCAGAGATGCTGAGTGGCACCCTCCATGTTTACTTCCTTATCTAAAATGTGCGTGTGATCTTTTACTGAGAGAAAAGTTTCTTACTGTAGTCCTTGTGATGAAACTGAAAATAACGTGCATGCCAAGAAGGAAAAGTGACTCTAAATCACTTACCACTATCAAAATTTGGCTTATTTCTTTTGGGACTTTTTTGAAGATTTCATGTTTTGCTTCTGTTTTAAAAAATCTGCATAATTTTGATCAGATTGCTTATATGCTTGATACTCAGGAGTTAGCAGGCTCCTTGAAAATAGACCCATTCCTCAGATGAATTTGCCATGGTTTCTATAACTGCTCATGTTATTTCCTATATTTTTATTATTGTTATAAAGTAACACCAGGCTAAACTTCTTTGTGTGTGTGTGTGTGTGTGTGTGTGTGTGTGTATACAGACTTTCTAATTAGACTCCCTCCCATCCCCCAATAAGACATTCCCAGAAAGAGAATTCCAAGGTCAAAGAGGACACATATTTAGAGGCTTGATACTTATTGTCACATTGCTTTTCAAAAGATTTGTTGTAATTACAATAAGCTATGCATGAGAGTGCCTATTTCACCACGACTTAGCTTTCATTAGATGTACTTTTGTCAAGAAGTATTTTTCAAGGTCTGGGGCTATAGCTTAAGTGGTAGAGCACCCCAAAACTCTGGGTCCAATCCCCAGTACACCAAAAAAATAAATATTATCATTAAAATCAGTACATTCATTGTGGCTTCAAGAAGCCAGAGCTGACAATCACTGTCCAAAAATATCCTAAGAACAGCTTGCAGGGGTGGGGGGGCGGTCAACTGATCAGAAGTGGTAAGAGACCATGGCATTTACCATTCCTCACTTATTTCCCCACCCCTGAACCCCTGCTTAAAGTTCTGGCATTCTTGTCTCCTGTCAGAATTAGCCAGTGATCTGACAGAGGGGCAAAAACTCTACGTGAGTAGGATAAGAAAATAACAAATAGAAGAAAAAGAAAATATTCATTATCTTTTCCATCTTGAGTCTAGTAAGAAGTCTTATTCTTAGAAGGTGGTATCATAAAATATATTTGATTTTGTTCTTCTCTCTACCCATCTATCAAAATTTAAATCTAAATAAAAAATAAACACGTAAATCCAGTATATTCACAGATTCTAACAGTTTAGACTTTTTAGGAATTTCTTTCTAGACATGACACTGAATTTGAACTTCTTATATTCTTAAAAAGGGAAGATTTGATCATAACAGTCTCCAGTGAGAAAACGCGTGTCAAATTTGTTTTCCTGAACAGAAAGGAAGGAGGATAAGAAGGAACTAGCTTGTATTGAGCGCTTTCCAAATCCCAGATCCTTGCGCTGTTTGCACCTGCCTTTTCTCTGTCTTCAACTTGTGAGGTGAAGATGAAGAGTTTTTTTCTTTTTGGTGGTACTGGGGTTTGAACTTGGGGCCTTACAATTGCTAGGGAGGTGTTCTATCATTTGATTCATTCCACCAGCCCTAGGTGGAACTTTTTAACCTCTAACCTTTATAGATAAAGAAACTAAGTTCACCAGCTGATAAACAGCAGGTGCAGGATTCCAACCAAAGCCTGACCTCAAAATCTGTGCCCTCGTTGTCATACATACCAGACCCATGCACACGAAGCATTGGCACACCTAGAGGAAAGAGCCAGCACAGGCCCCAGAGTGTTGGCATAGGGAAGGCTGAGAAACTGTCAAAGCCTTGTTCAGTAATTTTCCTCAAATCTCAGAGCTAGTAATTATCTATTTGTGAGGAGTTAGCAAAAGACAGAGGAGAAATTCCATGTAAATATTTGGGTATTTCCTTTGCCAATGGAAAAAAAATTTCACAAAAATTGAAATCCCAGGTATTAGCATGGAGGTGTTGGCTGAATGCCCCAGGGTGGCAGGTGCTCTGCAAAGCACAGGTGAGTAGTTAACACAATGGACTCCTTGGCCACCAGGGCAGCCACCACATGCTAGTCACATTCACATCTGGAAGGTGGTACCAACCATGGCTGTGTGGGAGCTGCCCTCAGCACTTTCTACTACTCTCTTTCTGGAAGCCTCTGGATACAGGAGAATCAGGGAAGAGCTGAGGGAGGGAGTGTTGGGCCGTTCAAGGACGCTGGAGCCCATGGAGTTAAACACACATACCTGG